AGAACGTAAACAAACGCTGATTTTCCGTGCACCAAATTTTTACAATATTTTATAAATTATGATTATTTTTATGAAAAATATATAGATTCAACCCTTTTTTATGATAAAAAAGGTATTAGAAGCATCAAAATGTAAAAAGGAATGGATTTCTGCCGTTAGATCTACACCCGATGCTCATCGTACGAATTCGTACGATTTTCCTTTCGGTGAACTGCTGAGAGTTAACCATCGGTCTGCTGGGGCAACAAAGTAAATGGTAAAGAGCATGGCTGTTGAGTGAGGATGTGCACTATACAAATGCTATTTATTATTATTATCAAGTGTAAAAAATCAGTCTAAAATCAGTTCCCTTTCATGTCTCTTACCTGCAGAGGCCACTTTTCTTTGAAATCTCCCTCACATATACAATGTTCCCGTAGATACTGAATGCTGCGAACCCGCTCCATCTCCGTGCTGTACACATGGTACATCTCAAACAAGAGCACACCTAAACTGTACATATCACTCTGCAAGGAAGAAAAAAAACCAGCATAAAAAAAGCATGAAAGTTTTATTTGTGGGGTTTTTTGTGTGTTTTTTTTTTTTGTGAAGAAAAGCATAAGAACACAATTATGTTCATTTAGTAAGACACAAAGACAGAATCAATAAAGAAATAAAAAAAGAAGTACACATATTTTAAAAAGTATGGGGGTTTTTTTGTTTTGTTTTATTGACTTGAAGCACATCACACTAAAAATGGATATTCCGTTAGACAGAGAGACAAATTTGACAAAAAGGAAAGAAAAGGAGTAAGACCAATCAGTGGCCTATTCCAAACTCCAATATATTTGAAATAAAAAGAGAAACATATTGACACAAGAAATTGCCACACAGTTTTGAGAAAAAGCAAGATGACAGCTGCTGTGTTGTAAAGGATGAAGTTTCAGGTTTTACCTAAAGTAAGGGTTTTACAAAAGTTTAATGGTATTATCAAGGAGTTTGAAAAAGCGAATAATTGACATGAACAAAAACAATTTATTTATTCAAAGGATGTCGATTAAATAGCCCCATAAAATATAAAACACCAGTTCCATTTCAATAAACAGACTCCCTTCAGGGCCCTTCTCCTAGATAACCTTCCACAGTTGCAATGCACGTTAAGCCTGTACAAATTCACATTTTTTTGCCTTCAGAGCTAGATGTAAACAAAACAGGGACGGGAACAACTTTTTTAAATCTTGAAAATTCGCATTTGGAGAAATATATGCACAGAGAAATTCAAAATGCATAAATACCCCAAGGAATGAAAGCATACACCCAAAGCTTATGATCACACCACTGACTTAGTACTATACTGATCTTATATCCTCACCTTTATATCATACACGGAGCCTTGGAGCTGTTCTGGTGAAGCATAGGCTGATGTTCCTACCCCTGTGGTGTGGTTGTCCACAAAAACTGTCGGAGCTACAGTTAGAGAGAGCAAAAAATCAAGGTGGGAACATAAAGAACCTACAACAGTAAGACTGAAACTCTCAAGTAAAACAAGAAGCAGAAGGCAAATAAATAATAAGAATTATAATAATTAATAACATCAAAACATCAGGCCCCTGGCAGGATACAAACCCATGACCTTGTGGTTAGAGGCTCAATTTAACTTTTACTAAGTAGGTTTAAAGTCTTATAGGAAAAGAGGGAAAAACTCGGGACATACTACAACCATATTACAAATGTTAAAGACAACCTAGTAAATTGAATACCAACTAAAACATGTCAGTATGGGTCAACTGAGAAGTCCAAAGTTTTTAAAATTCTAAGCATAAAATTTTTTAAATAATTCATAGGTATTTTAAAAACAGGCAAGTGACTGCCTCATTGGCAAGGCACCCTACACTCCGAAAACTTTTCTGTACTATTCATTTCCGTTGTGGTTAAAAACCTCAAGTTGCCTGCCATTGACACCTATGGCAGGGAAAAGAAAAGGAAGAAGAAAACGAAAGGTAAAAATTGAATAGTCTTATATCCATTCGCCCAGTTATGTTGGCTCCTGCCATTTTTTAAAACTAGCACTTCATTCAGTATTATGTGGATAGTTGGCGGGTGCTCTGGTGTGGTCTGCTTCTTCTTTCCTATCAGACATCTATCGTCCTTACCTTCCCTCCTTCTTTTTTGTGTTTGTTACTCTCTTATAACCCCTCTAATCTTCGGCACTTATATGAGCTTATTGTGTAGCAAGTGCCGTAAAACTCTAACCAAAACTGATTCAGTATTATGTTTCATTGTTTTAAAAAGTAACCTCCACTAACCATTTTCTGTCGGCGAGGGGGTGAACACAATGTCTTCTCGCCCATGTCTCAGGACATCTTCTTTAGCTAGTCCAAAATCACCAATCCTCACATGGAGCTCACTTCCAGAAAGGAAAATGTTTCGAGGCTGAGAGGAAATTGGATAAATTTATAAAGCATTAATCAAATCATCTTTGGATACATTTATAAAGCATTATACAAATCATCTGTTAGTTATTTGGCCCTGGCTTACAAAAATCTCCTAACAGATATTGCACAAGTAACTATAAAAAAGGTACATCCCAAACATAGATTAAATTTCAATCTTCTCAAGAAGATTTTGAAACTGAGAATGTATTGAATTGAAATCAAAATTAACACAAATACTATAATACATTCTTGTTCTTGTCTCCTTTACAGGATCTTCAACCTTATGCAATAAAAGTCCTGTAATATGGAAATATGAAATAAGAAGGAAAAGATAATGTTAAATACAATTAAAGTACTAAAAAAACAAAGTTATAAACAAGCAAAGAACAACCAAGAAACACTGAACGCTCCAGAACATTACCTTCAAGTCTCTGTGGATCAGGCCATGCGAATGGATGAAGTCCACACCTTGCAACACCTGGTGGAAAATCCTCATATTGTCCGAGCACATGATGGTGTCATCTAATTGACAAACAAAACAAAATCCCTTTTACTCACACATTTTTTCACTTACTTCATTTAATCACTACTGGACTAAAATAGTCCATTTATTGACAAGAAGTATTGGTACTCAAAATTGGTGTGAATTATAATAAACATTCTTTTTTTTAAATCCATTTAGTGGGGAATCAAATTCAAAGAACAAATATGACGGAGGTATATTCAGCATGTAGCTTTGGTTATGTCACGTTTTTAAAATCAAACAATAATGAAGATATTTTAAAAAAGGGGGGGGGGGGGGGGGGAAAGAACAGACGTTAATTGGTTGTGAACAGGATACACACGATAATTTATATTTTTTTAAAGGCTGAGAGTACAAAACAATGAGAACCTATACAACCCGTATATTTTATTTCTATCTAGCATTTGACAAGACAGAAAACATTCAAAAAGCACAACTTACCGAATTCTTTGGAATTATATTCAACATTTCTGTTCACAAGCCATTCTTGCAGGGTTACAGAGCACAGCTCCATCTGAATGTATAGGGTAATTGAATTCTGAGGGAAAGAAAATGTAGCTGGTTGGCTGATGCTCTGGTATGGTATGCTCCTTCGTTTCTTTCAAATACCAACTATCAACTATCATCTTTATCTCTTCTCCTTTTTTTGTGTTTGTTACTCTCTTGTAACACTTCTAATTTTAAGCATTGATGATATATGATCTAATTAGTGTTGCAAGTGCCATAACACTTCTACTAAAACTAAAAGAAAACAAAGCTCAATGTGGGACACATAACAAAGATGTAACTACAGCTTGCTTTATACACACGCTGTTTCATCTACAAAAGCAATTTCATCAATACCACAATACCGAATGAATTTCATATCTAAAATAAGCTGAGAGCTCAATGAACCATCACAATAAACAACAAGAAGTATCAAAAAGAAGTTTAAAAAAAGAAACCTATTCAAACTTCAGAACAAGGTCAAAAGAAGCTCTTTTTTAAAACAACCAGAAAGAGTAAAGGTTGTTTTGGGTGTCCATAGCTCCCAGGAAAAGCAGAGACCATCAAGCATTAAATGGAAAAAGAAAAAAAAAAAAGACTCAAATAAAGACTTGGGGGCAGGGGAAAAAAAGAAAGATATTTAAACCAAGTTAGATCTTAAACCTTTATAAGAAAAACCAAGCTTAGTAGTTTCTGGTTTTGTTTGTTAGAAAAAAGAGAGGCATTTGGAAACAATGACGGTCATTTAGTGCCGAGAAAAAGTAAGGCAAACGGACAGAAAGAACAGAGGGAAAGTAAAGAAGTAGGTCCTACCAGTAGCACCCTCCAACCACCCGTACTTTAGAAAAGAGAAGATCACAAGCACTGTTGACAACTGTTTCAAATCCAAAACTTGTAACAAAAAGAACTCTCACCTGAAAATCGTAATTGTGGTTTCTGGCCTCCATAATCTCCTCCACTTCATTAACAGCACCCCAGCTGATGCTTCTCTGGAACGACGGGAGGCGCCTCCTCTTGACAATCTTCTGAGTCATGTTGCTGGTGGTTGTGGAGGACACCAGGTTGGAGTTACCACTGTTGCTGTCATCTAGAGGAGTCATCTTCGCAGAGCAGGCGGGACCCGAATAACTGGTCTGACGCTGGAAATCTCCACCACGAGACACAGACATCACAGACGGAAAACGTATGAAGGAATCAAAAGATTCGTCCTGTTCACGAAAACTAATTGAAATATCATTACTTGAAATTTCCCCAGAACGTTTTTCGAAAGACACAATAGACATGGATGAAACATCTGCTACTGACCATTCTGAGATCTGGGTGGAAGTATGAGCATCTACAACAATACGAGATTCATTTGAAGTTTCATCCTGCTCATCACAGAAGAGTTTTGAGCGTTCAGGACAACATGCACCATTCTCAGAATCCACACCATTCTCAGAAACCGCACAGTCAGAAACCACACCATACTCAGAATCCAGAAGACGAGAAGAATTAGAATGGACTGAAAAGCCCGTTGAAGAAATACTTATTTCATTGTCTGATATATGAGACCTAGACGCTGTCTCCTGTTTTAATATCATGAGATCTGCCTGAGCATTGGGCTTCAACTCAAAGTTCTGAGCATGAAGTTTTGTGTTAGGTATACTGTCTATGGAAGTCTTACGTGTACCCAAAGAATTGCACTTTTCACATGGATTACTGCTTTCCTGAGAACAAAACATTCCTTGCAATTGCTCGTTATACTTTCCCGACATCTGACAATCACATTGAAAGCTCAGTCCTTCATCCTTCAGAGATTTACCATGGTTGCCTGAACAGTTAAGAGAAGACACATTTTCCTCAAGACAAGTTACTGAATTTTTTATCACTGCCGTTGGCTCTTTTTTCCCCAAAACCCCTGGAGGTCTTTCTGAAGATGATATAGCTTCACAAGAAGAACCGAAATCCAACACGTCCTGTCTGGAAGAATGAAAAGAGTCCATCTGCTTTTCCTTCGAGACGGAGGGAGCAACCTGATTACCCGAGGGAGTGTCGGAATCCTCAGGGCTCTCAGAAGCAGGTAGTTCCTCCACCCTCACAGAGCTGAAGACTTTAGCGTTAAGAGCCAGCCCCATGCCTCCATACTGGGGAGGCGGACGTACTTCCTTCTTCTGTAGCTCCTCTTCTTCTTCGTCCGTGAGGCAAAACTCTATGCTCACACTCATGCTGTCATTCTTCCTACACAGAGAAAATACAACGATGGCATTAAGCTTTAACTATGTAACTAGTCTTTTGAACATTTTTAAACTTTAAAAAAATCCCCCCAAAATTCAAACCCTTCTCAACACAAAATTTAGCCCACAGTACTTTTATACTATTTATAGTGCATTCTGACTACTGCTTTTTATTAAAAGGATCTGTAGATCGACCCCGGCAATGGTTTTAGAACAACAACAACAAAAAACTCAAACAAACAAACAAACCAAAAAAACTAAAAAAGAGTCAATTTTTTCTTCCAACTACATGGTTAGAGCATAGCACAATTAAAAAGAGTTATACAGAAGGGGGGCCAGCTGGATATCACAGGCACTAACTGAAATGCTATAAGTGATATCGAGCAGCATATCAGGAGAAAACAAAAACCATACTTCGCTACGCACAAATTAGAATAACAATAACAACAAAACTGAATAGAAGCTCAAAGGCAGACCACACCAAACCACCCACTAAACACCCACTCTTGCTGATAAACAAACAAAACAAACTGTGACATCCAAAACATAAAAAGTGAAATAAACTGTAGGACAAAAAAATAACCCAGAGAGTTTTTCAACATTCCACACTTCAGGAATACTCTGAAAATTCCGGACAACTGGCAATTTTAATTGTGGGTGTCTAGGACCATAGAAGAATAGGACCTTCTCCCTCAACCAAATTCTTATATTAAGAAATAGAGAGACCTTTTTTTAGTTACTACTAGTGACATATGCCATACAAAATTTGAGGACCACAATACTGACTGAAAGTGTAAGAAAACCACTAGTAATGAGTCACCGAAATATTCCCCTCACCCCCATCCTCCATCCCCAAACCCCATCCAAATCGACACAAATTATATAATTTAAGGGGAAAGCTATTAAAGTCCTGTCTGTCAGGAACAAATTGGTGTGGGTGTATGATATATCCCCAAAGAAAGACAGGGATAATCAGTAAAATAATACATATGAGAGACATCATGGTGAAATTAGGTGCTCGTCAAAATAGTTAAATTGAAGAAAGAGTCATCTGTCTGCTAGTTTGGCAATTTTTATTAAATTTTCATTTTTCTGCTCAACACTTTCTTTGTCAAAATAATAACATATTTCCATGCGAATTTTACTGAAAATCGTTCATTAAAGGTACACAATATATGATTTTTCAGTTTTCAAGGACTCTCAAGCTATTGAAGTTACCAAACTTTGGTGGCCATTTTCTTGCTAATTTTAGCACTGAAACCAGGCGACCCCACCTCCTTCAATAGCAAATATCTTGACTTCTGTTCAAGAAAGATGGGTATTTTTTTAACGATGAAAGCAAAGGCAAATGAATAAACTATTGAACGATACTAATAACTCCACATGCCCCAAAAATTGACAAGCGACTGATTCCACCACGTCATGACACATATGTTCTCAAGTTAAAAATCAAACTCATGTTCTTACTGTGAAAGGGGAGGAGCCTGACCATGAGCCTGTGGCGTCTATCCTTATTATCGTCGTGTCTCACGTCCTATGCTGTAAGGTAAACTTGCCTAGTGTACTGTTCCGACATTTAGTATCTGCGTATTTGAAACTAGCGACTTCTTTGATGTGCCCATGCGCAATAAAGTAGTCTCAACGGCAACAACAAAGTCTCGGGATCAGAACTTGTTTTCTCTGTCAGTGTCCAGTGAGTGAAGCCTTAGAATGTTGCTGATACTAGATCTAGAAAGGAATGAAAGTAGACGCTAGTTCTAGTATTCCTACAAGCCAGCATAATTGAAACTTTACAAAACCTAGCTCCATTGTTCAACTGAGCTTTTAACAACTTACCTGTCTTGGACGTCGGTGGCAGAAAAACTGTCATCAGTCCTTGGGCTTCCATTTGAGGAAGTCTCTGGAGAAAGAATTTATTCATTTATTAAACTTTGCTATATAAAAAATACCTCTAAGAAATCACCTGACTCCCAACACACTGCCAAGTCAAGCTTTTTTCAATACCATGCTTATGAATCAGATTTAGATACACAAAACAAAGACCTGAATAAGAAGGAAAAAAAGACAAGTGTCAATAACTTTGATGAATCCACCCTGGTAAGCCTGCAAGCCATTCCACATGCCTTCTACCTCGTCTAAACATTCATTCAGTTCTGCTAGACAATTTTTTCAAAAAGAGTACAAATTTCCTGTATTTAAATATACACTGATGTGTAAATAAATGGTTTTAAGTTTATGGAACAATATCACTGCAATCTGGGCATGCACATAGACACTCTGCTTCCTGTCTTCGCAACTATTTCAATACTACAAGAAGACAGATCAATACCGTTGTCATAGGAATGAGTTGGTTCTTCCAAAATTTCATTCTAAAACTGCAATACCCTATCTCTTATTCTTTATTCGAGGTTTGTTTGTGTGTGATAAAAATTAGGAGATTTCTAATACAGACAAACGTACTATGGCAGCCACCTGTCTAAGACAATCACCTGTACAAACGAACTCATCCAATTTCACATTTTTTTCATATATATTGTAATGAATCTGTCCAAGATGTCCATCTATCTTAGACAACCACTTTTCTCCTCGACAATGAGTGACCGTCTTGGACAATCTACACTGAACTTCTGCAACATTTCTCAGCAAAAACAGTATACCACTTCAGTTCTCTTTAAAACTTACAGTACCGAAGGCTCATAAAGTGAAAAACCCTCAAGTACCTCACTAGTTTAAAACGCTGAAGCCGCATTAGAATTTTTTTTTTTTTTTAAACTTTAGCAGCTCAAGAAACACGCTTTAAAAATTCATAGAGGTTCATCAACCATTCAGCTATCATATAGTGTGACTCTCTTCGGTATTTACTTCAGTGCAGTGTGTCCATTTGTTGTTAAATTATGTTTAGTGTACCTGGTTGCGACGGCGACTAACGTCGCCAGCTGTAGTGAGCGCATACTACGGCCTGGCAACTAAAGTCACCAACAGTACTGTAAGTGTAAAGCATACCTTTGCTGGAGCAATATGGGCTGTCATACTCCATCCAGGCAGCGTTATAACCCACTATGTTTGCATGCTGAAGATTTGCAAGAGCCTTAACTTCTCTGAGCAACTGAAAGCACAAGCATCACAAATAGCATCATTAGCCCCTGCGGTTGAGCAGTTCGTGAAAGCAGGTTGCAAGGAATGTCAAGCCATATTGGTGCAACAGACTTTTGGCAGGTGATCACTAAGGCGTGTTAATGAGCAAACTCACCTTTGAGCCCAGCACACACTACAACAACTTTCACTCATCATACAGCTGCAAGTATGCAAATGAGGCAATTTTCGCCCTTTTATCCCTCTTTGCTGCCAAATGATATCATACTTTGCAGCCATGCAACATGTGAAAAATTCCCAGTGTGCACTGGGCCTTACCCTGGCTTAAAGACAGGCCAATTCTGCAATGAATAAACCATAGTAAAGTTTCCCTTCAAAATTAACAATAACATGTCCATTATCATGAAAATAACCTTCCCATGGAAAAAAAGAAATGTGTCTACGCATTTTTAACAGTCTCAATAAGCAAATCACCCCAACATACTGAAAAGAACATTCTGAAGCAGGCAAAATTTCTCTCAAAACCCCTGATCTTTAAATTCAATACCTTAAGTAGTATTTCTGTGTGCCTGTGCTTGAATCGGATTTTCTTCACCGCGTATTCTCGTCCATCTAAGTAGTTCTTGGCCTGCAAAAAAAGAATCTCTGGCTTTTGTAACCTTGTTCTCAGTGTAACAATAGAAACAAAGGTACACTATTATTCATGACCAAACTTAACTTCAAAAGAGGTGGTACTACAATAGCATACTCACGTTTTAAAGCCCCCCTTCCCACCCTGAAAACCACCACTAAAAAAAAAACGACCACAAATTTAAAAAAATACAAACAATAAAACAAAGTAAGAAAGTACCTGCTATTGAAAAAAGTCAAAAAGGAAAAGATTAAAAGAAGATTTAAATGGCAAATGTATAAAAGGAAAATAGAAACAGAAACACTCTGAAAGAATGTGAATAGAGGCATCAAGAAAAAAAACTATGTCATGACAGTAAAGGAATACGTACGGAAAATGAAAAGTCTAATCAGAAAATTAGACACACAAAAAAAAGACCTCCACAAATAATAGATTTCAGGGTTGCCAACTTTTTCAAAACCCAAACAGGGACAACCAATGTTATAGCTTCACATTATCTAAAAACAAGCAAAAATACATAAAATGAGACTTCTTTTGGTGTGCGTGCGATAAGGCTCTCAAATTTTCGACCGCCGAATCTGGGAGAGTCCCTGGAAATTCGGTACAGTTGGCAAACCTGAGGTGTGACTGTGAACAGGTAACCCATACCTTAAAGACAGAGCCAAATCCACCGTTGCCCAGTAGCTCCAGCTCCTGGAACTCATTCTTATTCCTTACCTTAAAGACTGGTAAATTTATTCTTATTCCTTTACCTTAAAGACAGAGCCAAATCCACCTTTGCCCAGTAGCCCCAGTTCCCGGAACTCATTCTTATAGCGGGAGGTCTGCTGACTGATGATGTCGTCCTTCACATGATGGAGCTGTACCACACTGGGAGTAACAAGGGAGGTAAGAAAAAAATTTGATGAAATTTTATTGATCTCCACAAAGAGAAATTTACAAGGTGAATACATTTATACATGCTCTCGTTCTCTCTGTCACTCTCTCTGTCACTCTCTCTGTCACTCTCTCTGTCTCTCTTTCTCACACACACACACACATACTTGTCTTTTACATACATGGACATGCACACACAAAAGTCGTTAGATGGACATATAAAAATAAAGCCACTCTCACAAAAGGTAGGCCTACTTCTTAAAAAAAAAAAAAGAACGATATGGAATATTGAAGACAACAAAACATTCATCTAACATCAGTGAGAAATAAACCTAACAAAAAATTACGAGAGTGGAAGGTGTTTCTGCAGGTACTGTAGCACAAATAATAGTTTTCAGAGGGATTTTTAAAATTTTTATTTTGGGGGGGGGGGGGGGGGGGGGCAGATAAATATGCTGAGCGTGATCCCCTATCTTATTTGCCTTCTCCACAGCTGAAAGGAACTATCAAAACAGTACTCCATAGAACCAGAAGAGTATTATAGAGCCATTATCCTTGATTCCCTTTCACAGTCCGGACCAATCATTCCGAAAGGTGGTGTAGTGTACTGTCCCTATCACAAAACAGTTTAAAGGGAGATGATCTGATATGCAAATGAAGGAAGACATGGGTGAGCAATTCAGATTTTGGTGGACATTGAAAGGAAAGGCATGAGCTTATATCACTTATTGAAGAAAAGAAAGAGTGTCTAACATACAACTGTGACGAAAAGGTCCAAAAAGTTGAACGGGTCGTGCCAGGGAAACATGAATCAACAAAATTTCTCCATAACTGTAATATTGTCATTATTCAATTTACCCAACAAAATACTAATTGGATTTGACAAAATGTTCTTACTCCAAACTTGGATTGGCCGATGGCAAGGCTAGCAAGGTGTCATTCTGAAATACACAAAAAAAAGAAATTTTTAAATTTCATGACATAGATACATAACTTTTTCAACTGTTTGTAACTAACCTCTTATATTCTTATATTTTGCCTTAATTTACTGGTGTCTTACATAAATTTGGCCTCACCATTTAGGACATAAAAGAGCTTTCAAAACATTCAATTCAACAGTAATGGCTATAGATGAGAAATAATTTTTGGACCAATTTTAGGGAACATCCCAATATTGTAGACCTGCAAGGAATCCCCCCCCCTGAATACCATGAACTGACGGAATTTAGGCTACAGAGGGCACAATATCAAAGGTTTAATCAAATACTGAAAATATATAAAAAATATGAAAACTTCAAAACAAGAAATTGGGTTGAGGCTTTTATTCTATCTTTTCCTGATGTATTAAAAATATTGCAGCTTCAGTGGTTTGAGGAAGTAAGTGTACGGGTTATAAGTCCCTTTTAACACTGTTGGTTAAAAGAGGCAAAACCTCCGAATTTACCATCCATCTTCAAAAGGATCTAGCCGAATGGGTTGAGAGCCTTGAGAACTCCATGGTCATTCAAAGTTTCATTAACTACAGAGTTCATGAGAATAGGAACTGCTCTGACCTGATCGAGGGACTTCATGGCCGTCCTCAGAATTTTGTTGAGCATTGCCCTGTGCTGAAACCGGAGACTGCTCATCTCATCAAGGTAGCTCAGAGGAGCGATCACATTCAGTTTACTCAGCCGTTCACACAGAACTGAAAGATGAGCACGAAAATGTACGATTAAGCACTTCTCCTGTTCATCTCAACTAAAAGAACACCATAATTTGTATCTGTAATGCATAAGAGGTGTTACACAAGAAAGCCAGGAGTAAATGGATAGAAATATACCACATAAGACTACAACTACAACATCCGCACACGAATGTTCACAGTAGTCCCCTTTCACTGGTACGAGTCTAGAGTTTTTCAAGGACCAGTTTAGCTTGTTTTATTTTGAGCAGAAGCAGTTCAATGCACTGAGGAGAGAGGAAAGCATTACAATTTTGTTACAGATAGGAAATATTCTTGAAACTCCAAAATCATTTTCATGCACAAGTACCAATTTCAGCTCTACTTCCCTCAATATTAACAACCTGATCATCAATTTCATCCATAAAAAAGCTATAACAAACGAACAAAAAACACAGAACAAAACCAATACAAATTCAACAGACCAAACCACCAACAAACAAAACCATGCAAAACAAGAGAAAAAAAAAGGACATAAAACATTTTGCATTTACTGTATAAACCTACTTTTGAATAACTGTTGGGCTTTGCTTTTGTCCCCGACATACATGAAGCACAACTGTTCTAGCAGAGATGTCATGAGCAGGTGAGGTGGAAGACTGCTGGTGGAGGCTAAGGCTACAGCTCCTGAGTCTCGTTTTGGCAATTTCTCCACCTTCTTAGTCTGTCTATCCTCTTGTAGCTCTTCCATATCAGATTCTGAAAAAAAGAATCACAAATCTTCAAAACTGAACAATGACAATAAAACATATTTACAAAGACTGAACCAGCCCTGACATCATGAACACTATACCTGCTGTATACTTACCTCTTTCTTGAAAATTGAAAGTATATCAAATCGAAGTCTTTATCAATATATAATTTGTACTTTAACTCTAGTTTAAATCATCGCATAAATGAACAAAAGCATATCAGAAAACACCTCAACTATATAAAAGCTAACAAGCAAATTTAATAACTGTGAGTGTACCAACAAAATTTTTCAAATATTCTTTTTACTGCTTAAAGTTATAAATACAGTTGAAACTGTGTAAGACGGAATCGCAAGGGAGCCAGAAAAAAATTATGTCTTAGACAGGGGAATTTAGGCGGAGAAGGAGGTGGGGGGGGGGGTTCAAAGGCCCAGCCGGTGGGATCAAGGATCACTTGTCCGATCGGCAAGCAGTGGTCAAAACTTCACACCTCTCAATTGCTATACTGTCTGATAATGACATGCGTCAGTCTAACTTATCCAATTACCACCAGTGCTTGCCTTTCATAGGACCACTATTTGATCTATTAAAAACAGAAACGTTAGAACATCTCCTTTGCTTCCACCCTTAGCCCCACCCACCAATGCCACCCCTCACTGCCATCATTGTAACAACGATTCGAGGAACTCTTTTCTCGGCTGGCCGTACGATCAGGGCGGCAGGCATTGGTCAATCTAATTTCACACCTCTAACTTATATGGCTACCCGGAAAGTTTCCGTGGTGGCTCACCACTCGAGCACTCTCACGGGCAGTCGTGAGATTTCACACCCACACTACACTGGCCATCTGCATCGCTCAGGGCTCACATGATGGGGTAACATCTACCCCCAAATTGCACCCCTACTCCTCTTCCTCGCCCGGCGGCATGGCCATGGCGTTAAGTTTAGAGTTAGAGTCGGCGGAACCATACTTGAGAGTCTTGTTTCAAATCAGGGCTGAGCGGACAAAGCATTTTCCGTCTTAGGCAGGTGAAACCCTCGGAAGAGAGCGGATTTTTCTTTCCGTTTCCGCGTTAGACAGGTTTCCGTTTTATACAGGTAATTAAAGAGGAATATATCAAAGGGGGAGCGGGGAGATTCCGTTAAGACAGGTTTCCGTTTTACACAGGTTTCCGTTAAGGCAGGTTCGACTGTAATGTGAACCAAACCTTTACCAGTCAAACATTTTTTTATGCAGAAAAAGATTGATTAACAGATTCTGTGATCGTTGAGAGTAACCAATTTAAGGCTATCCTGCAAGACAAACTTAACAATTTCAGCCAACCCTACTTCATACCCTTATCCCAGTCACACTCCATCCTTACAAGCCACATTTCATAGATCATTTTGCTGCCAAAATCTAAGAAATCAAAGAAGTCAACTTCTCTCCTAGCAACCAGACTTTGGGAACAAGCCAACAACTACATATATACACGTTTCAATGTACTGAACAGTACCAGAGGTTGAACGCCCATGAGATGTGACTGACAACGACCACAATAACAAACAGGAAAAGACTTACTGTCCAGTCTTCTGATGGGCTGAGGACCTGCTCGCTGCTTAAATTCGGCCATTGTTTGAGCTACTGATCTACGAGCAGGACCTGTCGACTTCCTGCCGTTATAAGCCGATACCATACCTCGCCCCTTTGCAGGGGACAAAGCAGTGTCATTTGTAATTGTCAAAGGTAATGATTTTGGAGGTGGCATCGTGCATTACAGCTTCAGTCTGAAGGGAGAAAAAAAAAAGTCAAATTAAGTCATTTTATACATTTGGGATGAAAATTCCAAGATTCAGCAAGATTGTGGCTGTATCACTTCTCACCAAATGATGGACATCATATGCGATTCTTATAATCTGCTTTCACTCTTAGTGGCTCAGCACTTCTTGAAAACTCGAAACTTAACTGCAAAGCCATTTAATTATTACAATATAATTTCTCATCATTAAATGAACAATACAGAGCGGTAAATTTGCTTTGAAGGAGAGAGGAGGAGAAAGGATTGCTATAGATATTAAAGCAGGCCACAGTCAAACTTGATGCCCTTTTTTTTGTGAGCATGTAAAAGCTCATCATGCTCCATCCCAAGAAAAAAAAGGACACTTTCTCAAGACTTAGATTAAATTAAAACTCTATTTTAATGACGCATTCTAATTCCAGAAAGAATAGGTTCCAGCACACATTTGTAAAGTTTCTGAGTAAAAAAAATGCAATTGAAACAATGGCGGCCATTAAGTATCCAGAAAAGGGTAATATTTACGAAAAGGAAAGACAGAAAAACTTAGGGAAAGAAAAGATAGATCTCAATGAACCCTCCAAACATCCCCCACATACAGACAGACAAATATCAACTAAAGCCAACAAAGTAAATTAAAAATCCAAGAAAATTTAAAGACTCTTACGAGTTTACAACACACAGGCACACTATGGCCCACAGGCCTGCGGGCAGCTTTTTAATTCAGTTTTGCCAGTAAGTTGTGACCCCCAGTTATTTAATAATTGTATGAGAACGTGGCCAAAGGTGAGTTGATAGTTAAAAAATAAAAATGTAGGCCTGCGTCTTAAAAACTAAATTCAATAGTCAGCCCCAGCCAGAAGAAATGCTATTATAACTTTAATTTTTATGTTCACCCCCCCCCCCCCTTGCTAAAGTCACAAAAATAATATATAGATCTAGATCAAGATCAGAGAGGGTTTACAATAATGGAATGTGTCTACGAACACGGTAACTGGGCACCTAGCCTCAGTGTCTACGTACACACGGTAACTGGCAACCGGGCACGTTGTCTCAGTGTCACGTACACGATAACCAGGCATGTAGCCTCAATATCTACGTACAAGGTAACCGGCAACCGGGCACGTAGGCCTAGTCTCAGTGTCACGTAACATGGTAACCGGGCAGTTCAGAACTCCAAGATCAGTTTTTGTCATCCGGTGTTGCCTTCATCCCCACCCCTCCCCCGACTGTACCTTAAAAAAAAGGCCGGCACTATTTCTCCGAACGTTCGGGAAAATAAAGCTGGGCACTATTTCTCCGAACACTCTGAAATCACATCCTTTCCCGCAAATTTCGGATATTAATAGATCTATAATTATTTATAGGCCTACCAAAGATTGTTCGTATACAATATGGTTCAATCGGTCCAAAAAATGTCCGCAGTAAATATTTATATAAAGAATGCTACAATTCCAAACAGTTTTTCGCTACAGATATGACGTGTTGCCTATGAAGGGTGCTGCTCTTATACGCAATGTGTTGTGTTCACTCGTGTGCTGTCTAGATCTAGATCTTTAGTTGTAGTAAGAGTTTTACGGCACTTGCAACACAATAAGGTCATATAAGTGCCGAAGATCTAGATCTAGATCTACGGAGGGTTATTGATAACGACACATAGAACTGGCATCTGCGGTGGTCACTGCCGCGACCAATAATGTACTGACACTGGCAGGCCCCTTAATGTGTGTGATTCCATAATTTACATGTAATAAAGTAATATCCTGTACTTTTTTTTTTTTTAAATTACGCACATTTAGGGTTAAAACAGCAAATCTTCTTCGGACAGGTAGACACATGCCCTTATTTGTTAATGTTTGTTGTTTATCATGGGCTGTTCTAATTTTGATTTCATTCTGTTGTGAAACCTTTCTTTTTCACGTTTTTACACTCATCTAAAAATCTCTAGACTAGCTCTTGAAAATTGAAATAGATATCTATATATAGACCCAAAAATTTGCTCCTGTGTGTGTGTGTGTGTGTGTGTGTGTGTGTGTGTGTGTGTGTGTGTGTGTGAGTGTGTGTGTGTGTGTATGTATGTGCGTGTGTGAGTGTGTCTGTGTGTGGTAGTAAGTGTGTAAGTGGAGAGTGAGGAGTGTGTGTGTGTGTGTTTGTTTTTCGGGCTTTATTTCAGCCTTCATTCAGTAACAGTTCAAAGTATACAAAAATAAAAACAAAGGATCCATTCTATCCAGGGCTCACGAGTCGTTCATCTTTTTCAGTTTCACTCATTCATTCAATTCCCGTGTTCTCTCCCGGGGCTCATCCCCGTCCGCATGACTTTCACACCCCACCCCCTCCCTCCAGGCACACACAAAGAAAATCTCACTCATTCCCTTGCACCCTGCGAACCATGGACAATAATGTAGGCAAAACACTGCCTAAGCTGCACATTACTTTCGTTCGTGAGCTGTGGACCAGGCCAGGGGGGTCGGTGTCGTCGTCTTGTAGTTGCTGTCGCCTGTGGATACACTCGCACATTCTTCCTTTCACCCGCTCTTTCACTCACACTGTCTCTCCATCCACAGCTCAGCTCGTCATACGTTCAAAAGTTGCCCACTGGTCATGTTACAGTTTAGTTAGTGTGTATAAGTTTGTGTGTGTACATGTGCATGATGGTGGTGGGAGTGTGGTGGGTGTTACTGAAGGTTGTCTGTAGGCGGGCTTGCCATGCGGTGTTCCTTCCCCCAGACCAGAGGCAGAATGAAAATTGGCGCCGAACTCTTGCAATAAATAGGCAAAAAATCACGAGACCGGAAGCCGGAAACCGTTCGGAGAAATACAGATGGGCACTATTTCTCCGAACGTTCGGAGAAATAGTCACTTCGTTAAAAAAACAACAATAATCCACCCTTTCCGGAGCCCTAGATCTATACTTTGCAGCGCAAGACTTTGAACGAACTTTGGTGACCCCAACCGGTACTCACAATGTGATTCGAAAGCACAGGTTCGATGACCGGTCACGGTGGCTAGCCCGACAAGACACACATATATATATATAGAAATCTATATAACTTTCTTTTTTTTCAGTAAGTGACAGTACAGGACAAATATTGACTTATTTTCATTTTGGTTACCGTGTACGTAGATACTGAGACTAGGTGCCTGGTTACCGAGTACATTGACACTCCGTTAAAGTTAAAGTAACCAGATCTAGATTTCTAGATCTAGATCTAAATCTAGATTGAAAGTGGCTATTCTCACCCGCCCGGAAGTTCTCGCAAGATCAACTCCTCCCCTCTTCTCTCTCTCTCTGTCTCTTTCTGAATACTGTCTATCGGTGTGGACGATCAAATTTACCAAAACAAAGTTAAAAAATGATGTTAAAACACAAAAGTAAATTAATTTGGTTGTCTACAAAGATGCTACGGCTATTTAACTTTTCGAATCGAGCCGAACTACGCGGGTCGCCATTTTGTTTTGTCCGGAAATTCTCGCGCTACTCCTCTCTCTCTTTCTCTCTCTCTCCACTGCCCACAGACAAAATTGTACGCTTTTTGTAGGCTACAGTTGTAATGGAACGTTTGTTCACGGCACAGAATTCTACAATTTTTCTGTTATAATCACAGTGTAGAATTCTGTGGTTTAGGATGAACGCAAAATTTGGTGAACGCGCACCGGGTGAGAATAGCCACAAGACTCGCCTGCACTATTCTCACTCCGGGTGAGAATAGAGATGTGGCCATCTAGATAATCTAGAGATCTTTCGATTTAGACTCTTAGTCTTAGATCTAGACTCTAGATCTATATCAGTGAGGCTTCAGTTTGATAAGACGATGGCTACCAACACGACAGCAGTGCTAGGCTAGCTCAAGAATTAAGATTCTAGATCTTGAACAAACCGTTCGTAATTCAAGGGTGCATGGCATATGTCCAGTCACCACACAAGAGATCGTAAACAAACGTCAAGTCAACAAAACAATACACAGTTTATGCCGCTGTGTTTGGTATCGTCGTATCGTTGCGTCAGGTTAGGGAGATCACTCCCGAAAAAGGTGAATTGACTATTGACTCTCTTTAGCCAAAGATAGGATCTTTGCTTTCGCCAAAGTGGTTATAAATAGCCTAGATCCAAAGACCAAAGACCGTGTATATTGCAAAGACACAAAGACCTTACCCAAGACTGAAAAATACCAAAACGGAAAAGCGAGTCTCATTTCCAGTCTAACTGGCTCACCTTGGTAACAGCGATCTGCGCGTTTAAAGCGTAAACAAACGACGGCAAGAAAGAGCGCGCTGTTCATCTCGCTGAAGTAGAATCTAGGCCTACTTTGATTTTCATAATGGCAGTTTTGTCTTGTCTTTTTTCATGTTAACTTTTTGGTAATTGTTTTGACTGTATTTTTGTTCTCATTTTGAATATATAGTGAGTTGAGAATTAAGATTTTTATGAACAGAAAGCGGCAGTGAGTTGAACGTAGAGCTGTACCCTGGTAGCAAAATCGCTCGTGCTCGCAAGCTCCTAGTTCAAGTCGCAAGCCTCAAATCAATAGATCAAATCATCAAACCAAATCACCAGCATGTTACACTTGAGTTTAGCCTAAGAGTCAGTCTATAACACTACTAGATTCTAGTACTAGCAATCCACGAAGCCACTTGTATCGGGCCCCCTCATCGACTCCCCACACTTGCTCGCGATCTGCGAAGCCACCTACGTCAGAAAGAAAGAGAGAGACCCGTTCACAGAACGGCAGGCAAATCTCAAATCCCACTCGCAGCACAGCAAGCCGCTCGTGCCCCATGATTTGCCTTGTGCCCCATGACTTGCTATTTTTAACTTCCCGCCCTTGATTAGCTGAGCGAGTGGATGTAGTTAAAAGAAGCGAGGTATTGTAGTAATAAGAAGACTTAGATTATCTTAGAATGGAAAACTCCAGGGGTCGTTGTGATTGGCTTTTGTATCATATGTATGTAGCCTATCTTGTAGATGTTTTACACTCCCAATGACATAATATCGAACATTAAGGAGACGGGCTAGGTCTACTTCAACCCAATGTCAGGGCCAACCTGGGCTGAGAGGGAACAACGCGTCAGCAGAAAGACAGAGGTTCTCAGTAAAAATTTCTACCCATACAGGAATCAAACTGAGGTCTTTTGCGTGCGACGACGAAGCGCTTGACCCGTGCACATTTTTTAAAAAACGGCCTCTGTGTCATAAGAATAGTCGATCCGATCCATTATTAATTTGTTAGTGCATTGAATAGAGCTTTTTCTTTTTTACAACCCAACTGGAAAAAAAAAACCAACACATTGCACCAGAGACTTATCAATGTAAACGAGACAGTACAGCTTGCGGTGCTGTTCGTAACAACCAGTGTTATTTGCCGCGTAATCGAAGAGAGCTGTTCTATGTATAGCCTGGGGCAGTAAACATACTCACGTTAGGCCTGTTATTGTTCTAAAGCGGGTGAACGAAACCAAGTTGTTAGTGGACTCTTAGGTTCCAAACATTTAAAAAAAGGGGGGGGGGGCACATTTACCTGAGTAATTAAAAGGGGGAAGGACTACCGTAAAAAGCGACAACCACAACAAACACAATAAACAAGAGACATAAATCTAACCCTAACCCTAATACCCAAACCCAAACCCAAACCCTAACCCTACCCCTAGATCTACCCCTACCCCTAGCCCTCCATTCTTCTTTGTCTCATTCGGAGTCATAGTGGTCGCTCGTAACGAGGATTGGGGGGGGGGGGGGATTAATCATAGATGCAGATCACATACTTTTTAGGGGGTTGCGAAATAGTACTTTTACTTATTTTTTTGCAAGTGCTTATTGCCATGAATATTATCTAAATCAATTACAAACAGAGATATAATTTAAACATCATTATTTGCAAGTTTTTATAGAGACCCAAGAGAGTGCCTGGTTATACGCTACTTGCTTAATATCTTTTTGCTCCGACTTTCTCACTTTCTCAGGCGAAAAATTAGGAAAATGGAACAAAGCTAATTCAGGTCTTCTGGGTTCGTTTTTTATTTTTTTATTAGTGCAGTTTATTGCAGAACACCATTACAGTGTGTGTTCTAAGAATCAGCCATGTTTGTTTGAGTTTACCGCCCCAGTTCCTGTTGTCAAGGGATTGGTCAGATTCGTGGTCTGGCTCAAGCTGTACTGTCTCGTTTACATTGCTAGGTCTCTGATTGCACTTTTGGTGCCAACCTCTCATTCTCAACGCTAATAACCAGAATCCATAGATGAGATTATAACTCTATGCCAGAATCTTCTCTTATGATTATGTACTGAGCCCACAGCCACGAGAGTTCGTGACGTCAGACACAGTACAGCAAGCCTGTCCGCGAGTCACAACTCACCGGAAGTTCACCCCGGTAGCGAGCGGCAGGCAAAGCAAAGCACAAGCCTACTCGCAAGCCTCTGGGGCAAGCCGTCCGCTTCTCGCAATTCTTCGATTAAGCAAGCAAACTCCAGCTCTAGCTGAACATGTTCAGTGACGTGATGGAGATTTAAGAGTATACGAAACAGTAGAAGTAGATCTTTCAGTTAAAGGACGATAGAACAGCCAGTGGTGCTTTGCTATGAACTGTTCTAATAGAACAGGCCCCTACAATAGATTGGACTTTTTTTTTCTTCTAAAGATACTGTCCGAGGTGCCAGACGTGAATGAAGACAGGATCTGCTGAGCAAGTAATCAGAATGTCTCTTTTCTGAGAACGTTCTCTGCTCTGAATCCGAGCAATTTGGGGACTCTCAGTTTACTAGTGCTAAGATAAACCAACTGAAGTGTGCAATACACTGTGCAGCCATACCTATGTTATTCGTAGTGCCCAATCCTCCGTATCTAGAAAGAAACAAACAATTCCAAGAAAAAGGACTTTCTGTACGTGCAAACGAAAAGCTCGTGCTCTTTTACAACATGGAAATTCCTCAATCTTACCAGGACATTTCCTGAACAATATATATCATAGTAGTCGAGCTCAAACTCCCAGAACGGATTTGGCAGTCTACAACTGCTATGCACCTCCTGATAAAGCTCTCACGCTTCAAGTGATGGACATCCCAGCAGGAGACTGCTTAGTACTTGGTGACTTCAACAGTCATTCTCCAAGCTGGGGATACAGAGACTTAGATGCCAAAGGAGAGGAAATAGAAGACTGGCAAGCTTTCACCAAACTACACCTGCTCAACAAACCAGACGATCCCCCCACTTTCTTCTCAAGAGTCTGGAAAACCCCGTCTCACCCAGACCTGTCATTTGCCAGCAATAACATCAGCAGAGGAGCAACAAAACAAGTCATGGAACAACTTGCAACTAGTGACCACAAACCCATCCTAATCACCTGCCAAATCTCTTCCCCCACCGTATCAACTAGCACCTTGCCCAGATGGAACTACAAGAAGGTAGATTGGACCAAATTTGCATTTCTTACAGATGTATATACCACCAAAATTCATGCCAAAACCTCAAACACCAACAGAAGTGCGAAGGAGTTCACACAGGCCATACTGCAAGCGGCAAAAGAGTCCATCCCCAGAGGAGCCAGAAAGGACTATGTTCCAAACTGGTCTGAAGAGCTCAGAATGCTTAACGACAAAGTCACCACAGCAAGAGAAGCAGTTGAAAATCTACCTATAACAGAAAACAACATTCAGCTAAAGAAAGCTGCAGCGTAATTTAAGAAGGCAACCAACTCAGCCGTTCGGAAAAGTTGGCATGAAAAGACTAGCTTCCTAAACTTAAACGGACAAGGAAACAAACTGTGGAGGATTGTCAGATCATTAAACGGAGAAAACCTAAACAAGGATGCACCAGTAATACTTTCAAGGAAGTGGGCAAGTTAGAAATATCCCCAGACAGAATAGAAAAAGTACAGAGAAAAATACATGCTTTTGATTCCCAACAAGAACCTAAAGATGATGTTATGACCAAACCACTCGTAATGACTGAACTGGATAGAGCCCTACTCTAGCTCAAACCAAGACAAGCCCCAGGCCCAGATGAAATCAGCAACAACATGCTTATATGCATATATAGGAAACACTGCTAAGAAGAAAATCCTCCAAATATTCAACAGCAGCTGGAAGAACGGGAAAATTCCAAAAGCTTGGAAAACTGCTATACAGATACCCCTCCTCAAAGACAGAAAACCCAAGAACAGTGCAGAAATCTACCGCCCAATCAGCCTCACCAGCTGTCTGTGCAAGCTTCTAGAGAGGATCCTCAACTACAGACTCTCCTGGTTCCTATAGAAAAACCATCTTCTATCAGATAACCAAGCTGGGTTTAGGAAACATCGATCAACGGAAGACCAGATTACATGCATTGCTCAGATAGTAGAGGATGGCTTCCAAAGAAAAGAACACACTGTAGCCGTCTGGATCGACCTGGAGAAGGCGTTTGATAAAGTCTGGACAGAAGGACTCATACTGAAATTACAAAATCTGAACATCTCTTACAACATGCTGAAATGGATCTCACAATACCTATCTCAAAGAAGGGCCTGTGTGAAACTGCAAGGAAAAAGAAGCAAAATGGAGACAATCAGTAATGGAGTTCCACAAGGGGGAGTTTTATCAGCGACCCTGTTCCTGATTTTCCTCAACGACATTTCAACCACCATCACCAAGAAATTGACAGCAGCGGAGTACGCAGATGACATCGCCCATTTATGCTCGGCAGAATCAGTAGGAACAGCCCAGGTACGACTCTAAAGCACACTTAACAACATGATGAAGTGGACAGAAAAGTGGGGACAGACGATCAACAAGAACAAGACCATGTACACAACATTCAGCCTCTCACCAAAACCCTGAAAGGTAAACTTGCATCTTGATGGAAACACTCTACAACACGAGTCAAATCCAACCTATTTGGGTGTGACGTTTGATCCAAGACTAACATGGCAAGCCCAAACAGAGGAGTGCAGAAGTAAAGGCAACAGTAGAACAGCACTGCTTAGAAAGTTGGCAGGGTCAGACTGGGGAGCAAACCACACTGTCTTACGTGGAGCCTATGTTGGATATGTCCGCCCAGTCCTAGAATATGGTATCACAGCGTGGGGAACAGCATCAGACAGCAATTTCCACAAAGTAGCGAGAATCCAGAATCAAAATCTGCGGATCATCACGAGAGCAATGAGATCCACGCCCATTCATATTATG